TGTGTGTGTGTGTGTGTGTGTGTGTGTGTGTGTGTGTGTGTGTGTGTCCTCAGCACCGTTTGCCTTCGTGGTCTTGAAGGAGGACTTTGTAGACGACCCCCCCGTCGTTCTCCAGCAGCTCAGAGAACTTGTCTCCACAAAGATCGCCAGATACGCCGTCCCGGAGCACTTCCTGGTGAGGCTCACCTGACACACCTGATACACCTGATACACCTGACACACCTGACACACCTGATACACCTCATACACCTGATACACCTGACACACCTGACACACCTGATACACCTCATACACCTGATACACCTGATACACCTGATACACCTGACACACCTGATACACATGACACACCTCATACACATGACACACCTGATACACATGACACACCTGATACACATGACACACCTGATACACATGACACACCTGGAACACCTGGAACACCTGACACAGGTCCAGGTGTGTCTTACACCTTTCGTGTTTCCTGTCATCCCTCAGGTGGTGAAGCGGTTGCCAAAGACTCGCTCCGGGAAGATCATGAGGCGGATCCTCAGGAAGGTTGCCATGGAGACCACAGGTAACCTCGGCGACGTGTCCACCCTGGACGACCCGACCGTCGTCCAGGAGATCATCGAGGCCCACGAGCTGTACAGGAAGCAGAGCGGAGGAGAGAAGAAGAAGAAGAAGAAGGAGGAGGACTTCCTGTCGCCGTCTCTTTAAAGGGGGCGGGGCCGAGTCCTTCAGGTACAGACGACGTCATCGTTCCTCAGGAGACCAGAGGACAGAACATGTAGACAGGGCCTTAAAGGGACAGGACACAGCTAGCCTAGCTTAGCATAAATACTGGAGGAGAAGAAGAAGACTTCACTAAATGTGGCGCTGTTCCTTTAAGGGCACATCTCACATGATCTGTATGTGTGTGTGTGTGTGTGTGTTTTAGTATTAAATCCTTGAAGAACAAGTTTTAAAAAAAATTCCATTTTTTTTTTTTTTTTTTTAATTGACAGAAAGTCTTTGTTTTAGTTTTCAGGCTAAACTCCAATTTCTTTAAATTTGTTTTAACCAATTTTCTCAATAAAAATCTGAATTTTTACCATACAAATTTGGAAATTTGAGTCATAAAAATAAACAATAACATATTCGCTCATTTTAAAATAGATTACAATTATAATATATTTTAGAATCAAATGAGAACTCTTATATTAAAATTTGAAGTAATAATATTAATAATAAATATTTCAATGAAGTGTTTTCTGTCTCTTTCTTCTTCAGATGTTTTTTAATTTAACAGATTAATGTTTTATAAACATGTAAAGATGTTTATAGATTCATAGTTTGCAGCTGAAATTGTTTATTGATCAGAAACTGTAAAGAAATAAAGATTTACTAAAAGACCTTCTCTTTCATTTTTATAAAACATAAAGATCAAAACATTGACGGCAAGAAAATATAACTTCTTGAATCATAAAATGTAAAACAGACACATTTTATATTATATTTATAAGATCATTAATCTTTACTTTAACAAATCTATAATTTTATGAAAATTTTATAAATTTTATAGTTTTACCATAATTATATTTAACTATTTTTTAAATGTATTTCATTTGATTTATTTATATGTATGTGTGTATGAGTGTGTGTGTGTGTGTGAAGATATATATGTGAACATGTACAGTATAATATAGTTTTTGTTATTGTTACAAATACAGAAGGAGTCATGACCCTGAACAGGATAAGCGGTTAAAGACAGTGGATGAATTACATAAACTTTATGAAAATATATAAAATATTTGATTTTGTTTCTTAATTTTTGTTTTTAAGATGTATTTAATTTCTGTCTATTTATTTACTTAAATAAAGTGAGTAATAATGTAATTGATGTTTATTATGTTGTTGATCAGTATTAGTATTAGTGTTTTTATTAATGTCATTTTGTAAAATATTATTTGTAATTTTTACTTTTTGTTGTAATTTTAATATATGATTGTTTAGATTTTAAACATGTTCATGTTTTTTATTGTGGTGCTTTGACTTCCGGCCAGCAGGGGGCAACATGCGCACTTCCCTTCACTCCTCCTTTCGTAAAAACAGCCGTAAGTGAAGTTGCAGCAATGGCCGCTCGCTGGAGTAAAACTAAACTTTAGTGTTTCACGTTCGTGTTGAAGAGTTTCATGAGATGTGGAACTCTGTGGAGCAGCTCGTGGAGCAGATCATGGTGACGACGGTGACGGAAATCTGCCAGAGACTCAAAGAGAGAGAAGAAGAAGAAGAAAACTCGAAGACGGAGGTCAGTCTGATTCTAAGTACATGTACTCCACTGTTGTAATTTACTACACGTCTGAGGTACTTGTACTTTACTGTACTACATCTCAGAGGTACATATTATACTTTACTACATCTCAGAGGTACATATTGTACTTTATACTGTACTACATCTCAGAAGTACATATAGTACTTTATACTGTACTACATCTCAGAGGAACATATAGTACTTTGTACTGTACTACGTCTCAGAGGTACATATAGTACTTTGTACTGTACTACATCTCAGAGGTACATATTGTACTTTGTACTGTACTACATCTCAGAGGTACATGTAGTACTTTGTACTGTACCACATCTCAGAGGTACATGTAGTACTTTGTACTGTACTACATCTCAGAGGTACATATTGTACTTTATACTGTACTACATCTCCGAGGTACATAGTGTACTTTATACTGTACTACATCTCAGAGGTACATGTTGTACTTTGTACTGTACTACATCTCAGAGGTACATGTAGTACTTTGTACTGTACTACACCTCAGAGGTACATAGTGTACTTTGTACTGTACTACACCTCAGAGGTACATAGTGTACTTTATACTGTACTACATCTCCGAGGTACATATAGTACTTTGTACTGTACTACATCTCCGAGGTACATGTTGTACTTTGTACTGTACTACATCTCCGAGGTACATATAGTACTTTGTACTGTACTACATCTCAGAGGTACATAGTGTACTTTATACTGTACTACACCTCAGAGGTACATATAGTACTTTGTACTGTACTACGTCTCAGAGGTACATGTACTTTATATTGTACTACATCTCAGAGGTACATGTAGTACTTTATACTGTACTACATCTCAGAGGTACATATAGTACTTTATATTGTACTACATCTCAGAGGTACATGTAGTACTTTATACTGTACTACGTCTCAGAGGTACATATAGTACTTTATACTGTACTACATCTCAGAGGTACATATTGTACTTTATACTGTACTACATCTCAGAAGTACATATAGTACTTTATACTGTACTACATCTCAGAGGAACATATAGTACTTTGTACTGTACTACGTCTCAGAGGTACATATAGTACTTTGTACTGTACTACATCTCAGAGGTACATATTGTACTTTGTACTGTACTACATCTCAGAAGTACATATAGTATTTTATACTGTACTACATCTCAGAGGTACATGTTGTACTTTGTACTGTACTACATCTCAGAGGTACATGTTGTACTTTATACTGTACTACACCTCAGAGGTACATGTTGTACTTTATACTGTACTACATCTCAGAGGTACATGTTGTACTTTATACTGTACTACATCTCAGAGGTACATGTTGTACTTTATACTGTACTACATCTCAGAGGTACATGTTGTACTTTATACTGTACTACATCTCAGAGGTACATATAGTACTTTATACTGTACTACATCTCAGAAGAACATATAGTACTTTGTACTGTACTGCGTCTCAGAGGTACATATAGTACTTTGTACTGTACTACGTCTCAGAGGTACATATAGTACTTTATACTGTACTACATCTCAGAGATACATGTTGTACTTTATACTGTACTACATCTCAGAGGTACATGTTGTACTTTATACTGTACTACATCTCAGAGGTACATATAGTACTTTGTACTGTACTACATCTCAGAGGTACATGTAGTACTTTATTAATTGAAACTAAGTGGTTCTTCATGAAGGTTCCTTTGCTGTTAAATTGTTTGTGTTGCAGGAGAAGCTGCTGGCTGTCATGAGGAGGTGCTGTGAGGCTCTGCTGCAGGAGCTGAGGAGGCTTCAGGAGGAGAACCAGGAGCTTAGGAGGCTTCAGGAGGAGAACCAGGAGCAGAAAGACAAACTCCCATCATGTGATCAGAGGAGCTTCCATGAGGCCCCGCACCCTGCAGCTGAAGGAGACGCACAGGTGGAGGCGAGCCACCAATCAGACGCTCTGACAGGTGAAAGCAGCCAATCAGAGACTCCTGCAGCAGGCGGCCAGCGGACCTTCCGCTGCAGCGTCTGCAGCAGCAGCTTCTCCAGACGGACCAACCTGAGCGCTCACCTGCGGGTCCACAGCCGAGAGCGGCCCTTCACCTGCTCCACCTGCGGGAAGTCTTTCTCCGCCCGCAGCAGCGTCAGAGTCCACCAGCTCACAGTTCACGGTTCACGGCATCCCTTCAGGTGCTCTCACTGTGGGAAGCTGTTCGCCACCCGCAGCCACCTCAGGACGCACCAGGCGCCCGTCTGCGGGCGGCCGCTCACGTGTCCGGCCTGCGGCGAGACGCTGGCGGCGAGGTGCCGCCTCCCACGGCACAGACTCACCTGTCGGGTCACAGACAGCGGGTTCAGGTGTGCGGAGTGCGGGAAGGAGTTCGCCAAACGCAGCTACCTGTCTGCACACTGGCGAGTCCACCTGAAGGACAAACCCTTTAAATGTCCCACGTGTGAGAAAGGGTTCACCACAAGCCGCAGCGTCCACGTCCACCAGCTGACCGTCCACAACGGACTGAGGCCGTTCACCTGCGACGTCTGCGGGCAGACCTTCAGCCAGCGGAGCGGCCTCGGAGCTCACCTGAGGACGCACACGGGCGAGCGGCCGCACACCTGCGAGCAGTGCGGGAACAGTTTCTCCAGCAGGAGCGGCCTGTCGGTGCACCGCCGCGTCCACACGGGAGAGAAGGCCTTCGGCTGCGACACCTGCGGTAAAAGCTTCAGCGTGTCGGCCAACCTGCGGCGCCACCGGCTCGTCCACTCGGGCCGCCGCCAGTTCAGCTGCGACGTCTGCGGCCGCGGCTTCACGCAGGCGGGACACCTGAAGGCGCACCGCTCCGTGCACAGCGGCGAGTGGGCGTTCATCTGCAAAGCCTGCGGGAAGGGCTTCAGACAGCGCGGCGCGCTGCTGGTGCACGAGCGGAGCCACGCCGGCATCAAACCGCACGGCTGCGGTGAGTGCGGGAAGAGCTTCTCCTCGTCCGCGTCGCTGAAACGCCACCAGCTGGTCCACGGCGGGCGGAGAGCTCACGCCTGCGACGAGTGCGGGAAGAGCTTCGCCAGCGCCCAGGTCCTGAAGACTCACCTGCAGCTGCACGCCGGCGGCGGCAAAGCGTTCTCCTGCGACGTGTGCGGCCGCGGCTACAGCTCGCTCGGCTACCTGAGGACGCACCGGCGCGGCCACTCGGAGGGGAAGCCGTTCGGCTGCGCCGAGTGCCAGAAGACCTTCTCCACGCGGGCGAGCGCCAAGCTGCACGAGCGCACGCACAGCGGCGAGAAGCCGTACGTCTGCGAGGTCTGCGGGAAGAGTTTCGGGGTGTCGCAGAACCTCGTCCGGCACAAGCGCGTCCACAGCGGAGAGAAACCCTTCGAGTGCGGCGTCTGCGGGAAGAGATTCAGTCAGAACAACAACCTGAAGTCTCACCTGCTGGTTCACTCGGGACAGAAACCGTTCAGCTGCTCCTCCTGCAGCCGGAGCTTCACCTCCACGAGGAGCCTCAGGGAGCACAAGTGTGTCTCTGCTCAATGAAGTCCCTCAAACGAGACCAGCACAGACCTGGTCCCCCGAGACCCGGGACGGGATGACGAGCCTTCAGGGATCCTAGATGACATGAAGTTATTTTATGTTCTTGTATTTGATGCAGCGCCTTCAGACAGGACGTAACGTGATGAAAAGACGCACGTCTCAGTCAGAGAGTGTAAGAGGACCTAGTCGTCATGGTGACATCTCTCTTTGGTTTGGAGACGTTTTGAAGCCTCCAGTTCGGTCCGTTTTTGGCCGTTGCCATCATGTTTTTTTTATTTCCAACCAGTGAACAGGAAGTGACCATATCTGGACTGAGGAGGAGTGACGTAGAGATGCTGTATACGTCTCTGGTAGAGACCTGTCAATCAGCGTGTAGCCCCGCCCTAAAGCATCCCCTGCTTTATGGTCTGTGTGACTCTAAATGGACCATAATGTACTAAATGAACATCATGCTGTATTGAAGAAGACTTGAAACTAGAGATTGAGACCATAAACTCATGTTTACAATGTTTACTGAGGTAATAAATCAAGAGAGAAGTAGAGTCATTTTCTCATAGACTTCTATACAACCAGAGGAGTCGCCCCCTGCTGGACACTAGAGACAATGCAGGTTTAACTTCATTCTTTTGACTCCTGACTCAAAGAGAAACTCTGAACCTGTCCTGGTTTATTGATTTGAGGATGAAATGACTAAGATAGATAAACAGGTTTATCAGAAATCCATAAACAAATAAAAAACATGTTTATTTCTGCAAATTTCTCAAATGTTCTCTTTTTTCAGGACTTTAAGATCTTGTTGGAAGTTGAATGATGTCAACTTGTTTGAGATGTGTGCTCCCTTCATCTTCATGGTATTTTTTTTAAACTTTAATTTCTTATAATTCATTGCTTCCCTTTACTTTTTATGTTTTTTTTAAATATGTTCTTTGCCATTTTCAGTTTTTCTTTTATTAGCTTTTTTCTTTTAATTATTTCTTGGTTTTGTTTTACTTTGGTTTGTAGCCTTTTTACATTGTATATCATTTAAATATTCTTATATTTTTAAAACATTAAAACACTTTATTTTTATATAAAATGTATTTATTATTTAATTAATGAAATAATAATAATGAATTGATTATTTAATTAGCAGCATTACGTTTTTATCTTAATATTTATTTATTTTGTCTTTTGTTTTATATTTTTGGGGAAATTTCCAAAAAGAAAAACAATGACGACGTATTTGGCTCAAGGTCTTTTATTTTGAAGTCACAGACCGGAAGCTCTCCGTCGTCATTGTCATCAACAGCTCTCCGGTAGGATGTTCGCTCGGTCCTCTCCGCGTTTAGTCCGTTTGTACCCGGGTTAAACCTCAACACAGCCGAGCCGAACCGAACCGGGTCAACCGACCGAGTCCATCATGAACGAGACGGAGGGGCTACGGTTGCGACGGGTGCACCGACCGGTCATCACCGACGAGCTCCCGGAGCACCGGAACAAGGGGTCCGGGTAAGGAAACGGAGTCGAGAGGTGGACACTAAAACAGGAACACCGACGGTACCGTCGTGAGCCCCCCCAGCTCAGGGCGTTATTATATTATTATTAAATATTAACGATATCGAGCTAATAAAGAAATGCAGCAGCAGCTAAATACTGAGGTACAGGTACTTTACTAGAGTACTTATATACAGTAGTGGTATTCTCTTAACTGCTCTACTTTTATCTGACAGCTTTAGTTACTTTATTAATCAACTAATAAATAATGTGTGTTGTTAAATATTATATATAGTCATTAAAATAAGCTCCAGCTGCCTGCATTCTCTCTAGTGTCCACCAGGGGGCGACTCCTCTGGTTGTATAGAAGTCTATGAGAAAATGACTCTACTTCTCTCTTGATTTATTACCTCAGTAAACATTGTAAACATGAGTTTATGGTCTCAATCTCTAGTTTAAAGTCTTCTTCAATACAGCATGATGTTCATTTAGTACATTATGGTCCATTTAGAGTCACACAGACCATAAAGCAGGGGATGCTTTAGGGGCGGGGCTACACGGTGATTGACAGGTCTCAGATTTCTCATAGTGGCCAAACGGTGGAATGACAACTTCCTGGTTCGTCACGTGATGCCATGAGGCAGGAAAAGACTTTTCCCCATAGACGTAAATTGAGAAAGAGACGTCTGTGACTCGGAGGATCAGTTTAACGTTGGTTCCTCTCTCAGCACCTACAGCGGGAAGGTTTTCCAGGTGACTCTGCTCTCTCTGGGCGGCTTCCTGCTCCTTCCTCTCCTGGTCATCATCCTCATCCTCGAGTCTCCCATCCACCCCGAAGTGTTCAGGTGAGTTCCATCATCCACCCAGAATATAGAATGTGAGATTAGTGGACAGACACCGAGGTGCACACTCACTCACTCACACGACTGATCTCGAATCCCTCTCTGTCGGAGATAATGAAAATTAATATTCCGCTAACGTTCCTGTTGACGTGCAGCCTTACAGATTAACATCAAACACTTTTAAATCTGGAGTTTTAATCCCGGAGGCTGTAATCACGCCCACAGTCTGAACATGTAAATATTTAATGTGTTTATCAAAAATGTGTTTTAAATTTGTCTCCTGATGAATATTAATCCACTCAGGATACTTTCTGAATCTGAACCCAGAGTGGTTAAGTCTGCAGAGGATCAACGAATACTGTGTTTTAATACCACCCCCCCGTATGTTTCCTGGTTGTGTGCTGCAGTCTGAAGGAGCCTCCGCTGATGAAGGGCTGCTGGGAGCCAAACCTGAAGCTCCGAGAGGCTCAGAGACTGTTTGAAGACCAGATCACCGGACCAGAGTCCATCGCTAGTATCGGAGGTCTGTGTGATCCACTTTGGTTTAGTTTAGTTCAGAGTTTAGTTTAACTCTAGTTTAGGTTAACTCTAGTTTAGGTTAACTCTAGTTTAGTTTCACTCTTGTTTAGTTTAACTCTAGTTTG